ACTTTTGGTGATAAAGATGAATCTTAATTTTCAGTCATGTGATCGAGATGCAACTTGCCACCATGTCAGTTAGCTGACAGCAAGTTATGTGAACATTATATGAATTTGGCTGCTGAGTGCTATACAGTGGAACCTCTACTTAAGAACTTAATCCGTTTTAGAATAGTGTTCTTAAGTGGAAGCAAAATTTCCCATAGGAATGGACTGAAAACCAATTAATCCGTTCTGGCTGTTCTTTTGTTATGTAGAGGTGCGTTCGTACATTGAAGCATTAGTTCCCATAGGAACTACTGCAAACCTGGTTAATACGTACTCTACCACTAGGGGGAGAATTTTTTTTAAACCTAAGATGACCTAAGGTTAAAAAAAGAGCAGGAAAGGTTTTTTTCCTGTTCTTATCTTGGATTTCTGTTCTCAAGTAGAAGCAAAATTTAGCAAATGGAGCTGTTCTTAAGTTGGATTGTTCTTAAGTAGGGACGTTCTTAAGTAGAGACCCCACTGTACAATAAAACCAAATTATTTGCCAATAATTTTCAGGTTGAAAAGAGATGCAATGAGAAACACCACAGCAGTACAGTAAGATAACATCTCCTTCATTTTTTGCCATTGTCCTCCTATTGTAGCTGGAAAAAGCCCAGAAATAACTTTGTTACCTTGGTGTCCATGCACCACATTCCAGTCTTCAATAGAGGCTCACATTTCAGATGTTTAGGGTTAGATTTCATCTCAGCTTCCTCCTGGAGTACAATTACAAGCATCATGTTTCTTCATGATATTGAATATAGGCATAAATGATCAGAATCATGAAGAAACACAGCATGCCAACCTGGAGTGAAAGAACTGCTGAGAGTATTTAAAGCAGAGGTGAGTTACAGTAACAGGACTTCAGAACCTGTCACTATTGACAATGCCGGCTAGAGATGATCAGCATGGTGGGCAAAAGCATGTGGAAGGCTACTGTTGCACATTCTTGCTTCAAAGTTAGGTACAAAGAAAGTGAGGACAGTGGTAATGAGTGGAAAGGTTTGGTTTGGATCAATGGTGCACATTTGGAAGGAAATAGCTCTAAAGGGCCTATAAAGCAGAAGGTACAAAATAGATGATGGTGTCCATTTTCATAGATTTTTGGCTCATAGACCAGAAACAGATGCTAGAGATAGCCCATACTTAATGTTGGAGAGAGGTGGTTGAGGCAGCTTTTTCTCAGCTTGTGAAACTGCCATTCAGGAAATCCTATGCAGAATGATCAATAACACGTAGCCTTCCTCAGTTCAATGTTTTGGACTTCATCTCTAGTGCCCACGTGACCAATGGTCAATCCAAAAACATCACTGGTACAGTACTTTAAAATACCTGGAAGGCATCAGATATCAATCCAAAAACATCACTGGTACTTTAAAATACCTGGAAGGCATCAGATTGGTAAAGTCTGCATAACGACTCATCTCTGGCATACAGGACCTTAGCCAGTAACATATCATGTAGAAACCCTACAGTTTTTATGTAGTAATGTGGAGTAAGAATTTCCCACAAGTCTGTGAGTGGCTCATGGAACAGGACAGAGGGGTGCCTCAGACCCACATGGTGGGATACCCCCTGCCCCAGTCATGAGCCATCAGTGCACAAGTCTCTTGCACTGCTGTGTGTACTATGAGTTTTCAGAATATTCTTTCCTGTACACAGAATTCTCAGAATGAGAGAGCGAGAGAGACTTTACTTGTTTTACTGATATTTTGAAGGTTTTCTTTCCCCTGAACAACTCTCTTTGAGAAGGCATACATGTAGACTGAATACTTCGGGTGTGATCACGAAACAAGAAAGGATTGTGTCTGACTGCTCTGGAAAGGGTCATTGGGAGCAACCTCCCTTAAAGCAATCTTTTCATCCCCAGAGGACTAGTTCTAGCCCAACCCCCAAAAAGAGTAGCCCAGCCACTGGACCAAAAAGGTCCTGTTTAGGCACAGATCAGCAAGGGGAAACACCCGTGCTCTGGTCATGAAGGGCACCAGTCTGAGAGCAAACTATGGATAGACTTGGTCGACGACAGGCCAGAGAAGCAAGGAAACCTTGTATTATCAATTAGAAGAAAACCAGAGAAGGGAGTTTCTTGAATTTCTTTTAATTTCTTTCTCTGGTGTTTTTGAACTTGGAGAAAAACAAACCAGAGGAAGCTGCACTCCCTTGCAGACAACATGTTGGACAAAACATTTGTTTGGCTCCTCCTGCTGGAAGTGGCGCTAAAAACAGCACGCACAAGCATGGCCCACTGATTGTAATGGTAAGCCAGATTCCTCACAGTTCTCTGGTACCTTGTGTCATCTGGACCACAGCCAATCTATGCAAATTTCGATTGTTGCAAGTGTTTCCTGGTCTCTTTTACAGAAAGCAGATGGGGAAAGACAGTAATGTTTTTCTCCCTTTAGTTCCTTTTTCCAGAGTGACACAACATAGAGAGGGCTACAAAATCTCACTCCCAGTGTTCTCCTCCTAATATCTCAAATGTAGCCCTTTAAGTGCATTTTAAAGACAATGAAGTATAGACTTACTGTTTTAAATGTGTTTTAGTATTGATTTTATTACCATTTTAATGTAATACCCGTTTAATTCTTTTAAAATATTTGTATACCTAATGTTTTTAGATTCTGCATATTGTCTTTGTAATTATTTAAGCCACCTTGGGTTCTTTTTCAGGAGAAATGCAGGATAAAAATATTTTAAATAAATAAATACTACCTAGTATATAGCTCAAATACAGGTGGTAAGGAACATGTGGCTCTAAAGATGTTAATGGATGGCCTCTTTCCTGAGCCTTAATTAGCATACCCAATGGTAAGGAACAGAGATGGGCACCAAAAGAACCACAAGGCAACCACCACCCCACACACAAATTGGCTTTGTTTTGGGGTGCTTCAGGGAAAGACACTTGCCCAGAATGAAACAGAACACTAAACTATTACCAGCATTGCTGATTCCTACACTTTGAGTGTGTTGTCCCTAGCCAGACAATCTGGCACTACCCAATCAATTCCGTAGGCAATGCTGGGACGGACCTAGAGAAAACTTTGTGTAGGATTGATTGTCAGATCAAGCAACTAACCATGGAGCTCCAAGTCCTCTCTCTGAGAGTAGCTGGTTATAAGAGCCACACCTTCAGCATCTCAGCTGAGGGTGTGGCTCCTGGTTTTATTTTTGCAGCAACTGGCATGCAAAGAGGATGCTTGACTAGCTAGTCCATCCAGCCAGCCCCCTTTTTAGTTCCCTTCCCAGTCCACCTCATGATGAGCAATACCCTGTCTCAGGTTTCCTTCCATGAACCAATCACTTAATTTTGCCCAAGCCAGCTGCTAAAAAGCTTTCTTGAGGGGACCTGCTTTTGGGGAGGCTATAATTCAGTGGTCCCAAATCCAATATTCACCATGTTTTGTGGGGAGGGGGGAGAAAGCCATCTGAAGACTCACTGCAAATTGGGCATCTCTAACTCACACAAGGGCTGTTCAACTTCTTCCAGAAGTCCTGGATCACATGAACCATGAAACAGTTTATTTCATCAGAATTTGTGAAAGTTTGTGGTCCGTGATTCATGAATAGTGACGAACCATGAACCATCACAAACTACCATTTTCCCAGTTCATGCCCATCTCTAATAAGGAATGGTGGTGGATGCAATCTTGAGGTCAGAGTCTTACTCTAAGGCAGAGATAGGGAACCTTTCCAGATGTTTTAGACTTTTAGTTCCAGAAGTCCAAACAATCATAATGCATGATGAGAAATAATGATAACTGTGGTCCAAAACATCTGGAGAGTCAACTGTTTCACTTCTGCCCTAAAGAAGAGAGGGAATTATTCCAGATGCAACAATATCATAAATATTAATGTACATTGTCTATTTTAAAAGTACAACACCATTCAGATTTGTTCTGTGCTGGTATTATACCAGCCCAACATAGTCATGAATGCTGAGGAAAGTCAAATACACAAAGCACAAATAAAAGCTAATATGCAGTACTAGCAGCTTCTTAGCATCACCAGATTCAGGTACCTCTGTCAGAGATGGCCCAAGCATGGTGATACTTTTTGATAATCCTATAAAATCTATTTAAGGGATTTATTAATCAAATATGTAGCAATAACGAGAAGGGCAGGATGACATGAAAAAATCAATTGTACCAAGCCTACACTTAATGCATAGGCACACTGCCAGAAACAGCCCACTGTGTCTCCTCTGTCAGAACTTTCCATAGCTCAGAGGGGATGTGACACCCCTAAGTGTTAGCCCTTCTAGGACAGCCTGAGGCTAAGTGAAGTATTTATTTGTTTATGTATTTTTTTATTTAAATGCATATCAAAAATAATTCAGATTAAATAATACTTCAATCTATATAACACAACAATGCAATCCAACAATCTCAGTAATGCAACATTAGTGGCATAACAATCTAAAGTTTCATTAAATAGCAAGAACAGTTTGTCATGCAGTGTTCAAAAGAAAAAACACACAAATGTAACACAAAAAAGAAAAAAATCTCAGCTGTAACACTTAATACACAAGCTAGCCTTCACTTAACAGCCAAACTTTAACCAAATGCCTAAAAGCATACAGTGTCAGGAGGAGTCTTGTGGCACAGTGGTTAAGCTACAGTACTGTAGTCAAGACTGCTCATGGCCTGAGTTTTATCCTGATAGGCTCAGATAGCCAGCTTGAAGTTGATTCAGCCATCCTTCTGAGGTTGTTAAATTGAGCACCAGCTTGGTGGGGGTGGAGGTAATATGCAGCCTGAATAATGAAGTCGTAAACTGCCCAGACAATACTTTAAGCATTATGGGGTGGTATATAAGCAGTACACTTTACATTGGAATCTTATCGGAAAATGCATTCTGTAAGTCCACACTACACTGGCAATGCTGTACACACTCCATTTTCATTGGTGTCTGCTTGTGGGAAACGCATACAGGGAAAAGAAAGAATACACCTTCCAGAAAGCTGTTGCCAAAGAGGCAACATAAACCGCCCAGACAATACTTTAAGCATTATGGGGTGGTATATAAGCAGTACACATTACATTGGAATCTTATCAGAAAATGCATTCTGTAAGTCCACACTACACTGGCAATGCTGTACACATTCCATTTTCATTGGTGTCTGCTCATGGGAAACGCATATGGGTGGGGTACAGGGAAAAGAAAGAATACACCTTCCAGAAAGCTGTGCCCAAAGAGGCAACATTGGGAGATATTCAATAGCTCTGGGAAACTAGCTGGTTTATTTTTTAGCCTTATTGATGTTTCTAGGATTTTTTACATTCTTTTTTCCCTTTGTGTCTTTTTTCAGGGAATGCTATTCCACCTTTTTGTGTTTGAATGGTACTCTGTGTGTTTTTATGAAAACAGATCTCTTGGATGATAAAATATACAGCCATTAACATTTGATCATTCTCCTTTTTGTTGTCTTTATGTGTCACAAGGAGATTGCCATAGTGGCTTCCAAAACCTCTCTAAACCCCTGTAGATCCTACAGGATCTGTTCCTAAGAGAAAAGTACAGCATTTTGACAGGGGAAACAATCAGGTTGGATTGCACTACAAAAGTGGTTTGAAATAATTATGCTTCTGAACCGATGGCAAGTATTCCTTAGTTAATCAACATTTCAGTTTCATGGCAATGTTTTAGAGCTAATAACTGAACTTTGATTATATTCTTTAAAAGTAGTACCTGAAAGACAATATTCCGATGCCTTTGGTCTTATTGGTATGCTAGTGATAGAATAAGAAACTGTCCCAAAGCTAAGTTGTTTGCCTGTACAGTATTCGTATGCAAAAACTTATTATTTATCTGAGCAAAGCTGGGGTAGTGTTTCAGAATATAACTGTATTACAAATTATTTGTATTTACTTATTTCTTAAAGGTATACACCACCCCACTAGTGTGGTATACAATAAGCCTGGTTTTCTCAGCAGCATGCTGCATGGGGATGATGGGATTAGTAGCCTGTTATATCTGGAGGGCACTAGGTTGGAAAAGGCTCCTAAACTAGTATTTGCTCCAAGCAGTGGGCAGGAATAGAGAACAGGACTGCTCCCACTCTTCCTGCTATTCATTCCCTGATAGGAAAATGGTATGTCTCCCTCTGTTCCCAAGTGCAAAGTGAAAAGTATCATCATTTAAGGGCTGATTTACACAGCCCTTTGGTGCAATATAGTTTGATCTCTGCTCATATTGCAGAGAGAAGGAGTTCAAAATGAGGACAGAACGTGCCATTTTGCATTGCATGGAAGAGATGTTCCCTGGAACAATTTTCTGCAATGGGAACTTTGGAGAATTCATCTGCACTGTTTTTAAGTTAAAAAGGAGCATTTAGGATGGGAATAAGGAATGTCTGAAAATCAGCATCACTTGCAGCACTGGATGCCAAGCAGTGTTACTTCAGAGGCAACTAGAAAAAGATCTGCCAGCTTATAAAAAAATTCCTGAAGTCTCTCCAGTTCATTCTGCTACATTTTCAGATGGTGGGAAGAAAACAAATCAATGCAGATAGATTTTAGATCTGCATCATTCTTTCCATGCTACCTTTTGTTGCTGTACTGAAGAAGTGCTTTGTTCACTTTCCTGCAAAAAGGAAAAATAATAATGCTTGCAACAAATCATGATACAGGTTTGTAAACAACATGGTACACAATTCAAAGTGAAAGAGTCTGTTGCCTCATCCACCTTTAAAAAATAAATTGCAAAGAAATACAGTGGACCCTTGACTTAGCACAATTCAAAGTGAAAGAGTCTGATGCCTCATCCACCTTTAAAAAACAAACTGCAAAGAAATATCTTGAAGATCTATGACACAAAGGGGGAAAATTACATTTTTTCCCAAAAGAACCCACCAATTTTCATCTGTGACTGCAGGACCCTGAAATGACTTTATTATGGACAGACTAATGGTTATTTAGCTGAGTGTCTTTATATTGAGTGCTGTCTCCTATAGGAACTTCTTGCACTCCTGGCTCAGTACTTCATTGCAGAACTGAAAAGGTGGAAAGAAGTCACCAGAATCATTCTTTCTGGCCGCACAAATGTTAAACATGTGACAGCCCAGCTATCTTCTCTTGTCTACATCTTGGACTAATGGTTATTTAGCTGAGTGTCTTTATACTGAGTGCTGTCTCCTATAGGAGCTTCTTGCACTCCTGGCTCAGTACTTCATTGCAGAACTGAAAAGGTGGAAAGAAGTCACCAGAAAGAATAATATGGCTACAATGTAGTGCACCAGAATCATTCTTTCTGGCCGCACAAATGTTAAACATGTGACAGCCCAGCTATCTTCTCTTGTCTACATCTTGTAGACACATGGCATATGAGGATCAAATGTGCTCTAAGAGCAATTTTGACCCCTAAAATGAGCACCAGGTACAGGCACAGGCAGTTACCAATCTGACAACATATTTACATCATGCATCTGACTTACCTTGGGACTGCTGATGGGAAGAGTAGACAAAGTCATCTCAGAAACAGGAGGCTTAATATATTTGCTGCAACAAATCCATTGCCAGTATGTTTCTCTCACCTGAAGATCGAAAGTACAAAACCACCAGTAAGAACCAGCTCCACTGTGCCACTGTAACTGTTCCCTTGCAAAGTTCCCTCTTTGCCTGATGCTTCTGAGGAGCATAATGTTAGAGTAACTGTTCTCCATTATATTGCCCCTCCTTCCATTATTTGACATGCTTTTGGCCTAGGTTTCATCCATTTCTCTTCTCCTTACTCTCCATTGTTCAGTCTTAAAATTACCTCCTTCATCTTGGGCTAGAAGACGACTTTAGAGATTGTGCCTAACTAGAGCTGAAAGTGTGTTAATGTTGTAGAGAGGTGACTGAAGCAGTCATTTGTGTCTGTGAAATTAGATGTCCAAGCAACAATATCTATCTATCTATCTATCTATCTATCTATCTATCTATCTATCTATCTATCTATCTATCTATCTATCTATCTATCTATCTATCTATCTATCTATCTATCTATCTATCTATCTATCTATCTAG